TAAAATGCAATAATAGGTCCTAAAACTGATTTTTAAAACAAAAATTTTGTGATTGTTGGAAAAACAAAATTTTTTTGAAAATGTTATGAAAAATGTTTAGAAAGTTTTTTTTGAAAGTATTTAGAAAAAAAAGTTTTAAAAAAAAAAATATATTTTTTTAATTTTTAGAAAAACAAAATTTGGAAAAGGTGTTAAAAACATTTTGAAAAACAATTTTTTTGAAAAATGTTTAGAATTTTTTTTTAAAGATTAGAAAAAAAGTTTCGGCAATTTGGGAAATATTTAAAAAAAATTTTTTTTCAAAGATTTAAAATTTTTTTTTTTTTTAATATTTCCCATTTTGACCATTTTTAAAAATATTTAATTAATATTAAAATAGTTTTGAAAAAACTTTTTAAAGTATTTGACGTGGAGGTTTCGAGAGCGACAGCTCGGTCCGCCGGGGCAGGCACGGTTCTCACGGTATGATAAAGTTTGTAAACAAAGAGCCGGCTGAGATATGGCCAATGATTTCCTTCTCTTTCTGAGTCCTATGATCCACGGGAGCCCTCTGGTTGGTAATACTCAAACTCCATTTTTGTTTGGTACCGGCCGTCATTTTTAGTCAACGTTGTCTGGCTACATCAAACAAATGGCAAATCCAAGCGCGCGCAGGCGCGTGCCCAAGCACTTTTCTCCAATTAACGCACCTGCTTCTTTCCCGGCATTTATTTATTTATTTATTTATTTATTTTACACAGTAACGAATTCTTTTCAAATGTAGCGAAGTTAAATACTTAAGTCAAAAATGTTCTTAAATAAAAGCAAAATTACCCATTTCCAAAACGACTTCGAAATGAGAAATTATTCACAAAACTACTCAAATACAGTCACGTGAGTAGTTGTAATTCGTAACTTTCTAACTGTGCAGCAAAAACACTAACTTTCTGAGGCTCCTCACCTGTGGGATTATGATTTAAAATGTGCACAAACACAGAAATTAAACCTCATAATATGTCACATATATATAAATATATATATTCATCAACCGTCAACGCAAACACAGCAGGGACTGGACTTCTTTCTACGTAACGTTAGCATAGTTGTCTAAGGGCTTAAGGTTAGTTTGGGGTTCATAAATATTTTGATAAAATCTTAGTTTTTATTATTATATTTTAATATTATTTTAAATTAAATTTTATAATTTCACTCTTTGTTTTGAGCTTAATTTTCTAATTTACATTTCTTATGAATATATTTCATATTTATTGTATTTTATTTGCTTACATTTTAATTAAAATTAATAAATGATTCCAAGTAAAAGGAAACGATACATGTTGGAAGGTGCAGATGCATCATTTGTCCACTAGATGACAGTATTTAGCGCTAGAATAAAATACTTCATAGTAAAGAAAATCTGAAATGTTCTGAAGAACATAAAACTAAGGTTTTATAATTAATATTAAAATAAAAAAAAATACAAAAATACAAAATCAAATATACAAGTCCGATAGAAAACTGTAGTAAAAACATCCAATCACTAGAACACTGTGGCATTTCACTGTATATTGGATAAGCTTGACATTGGGCGATACAGAAAGGCCTGACCTTAAACATGACCCTAACCAACCATAACCCTGACCTTAACCCGAATACAACAAACATTACCGTAAGTTTTGTAAAACAAAATCCAAAAAATGCAATATCTCAAAAACGCCTCAAAATACAGGTTTTTGTATTGCACAAAAAAAAAAAAAGCACAACTTGTGCTGAGAGTGTTTACACAAACAGAAATGGACTGAACAAGTGTGTGTGCGTGTGTGTGTGCTCCAATCCCTGGAGTCCACCCTGGAGATCGCTTGGGAAAAAGACCTCTAGGTCTGCCTGAGGTCTGATTTGGAGCCAAGAAAAGCAAAAGACTGAAATAGAAAGAGAGAAAGAACGATACTGAGAAAGAGAGAAAGAGAGAAAGAGAGAGAGAGGGGGGTGGGTGGGGGGGAGGACTTTAAACCTGAGAATCAAACAGAAGGAATGAGGGACGAGTGATTCGAAAGATGGGAGGGCGTGAGAGGAGGGAGAAGCCAGAGAGTGTGGACAAAGAGCTTTGTATCTGAGAAGAAAATACATGGAAAATAAAAACATTCACACACACACACACACACACACACACACACACACACAGGCTGCTGATTGAAACCATATGCTGACAGAGAAAATAATGGGAAACTGTAAATTGTTTGATTTGTTCTCCCTGGTTGTTGTTTCGGGATGGGGAGTGGGCGAGGGGATGGCGGGGGCGGGAGGTGTCCGTGACGACAGATGACGATCAGCCATGGGAAATGCCAGCACATAGACGTGTCCCGGCACGGTACAGACTAGTCCGCTCCATTAACAGCACCAACGGGGGTGAGGAAAAAGGG